TCATGATGCATCTTATGATCTAAAAATTCACACATGAGTTCATAATGTGTATATCTAAAATTCCAGTTCACAACATATACCTTCCGATGACTGATGTCATAAATAAATATATATATTTCATGTCTATTTTGCTATTCAACTGTAATTTAGACATATAGACATATAGTAAACTGGAATTTGAGATCCAATTGAGATTTATCTTTATAAGTAATAACATTGATAGTTAGGGAAACCGTCATTTAGTCTATCCAGCTGATTATTTCTAGTTTTAGTACTAGTTTTTTATATTAATTGAATTTCAATATCTATATAGCTTTTAAAAAGCAGATTTTATAAAAAACCACACGATATATATTTAATATAAAGATGGTAATTTTTTTACAACTTTTCATAAAAATTAAAAAATTGCGGACGTTTTGGACCAAATTTTGCATTTCTCAAAATAAAGCTATGGGACAAAAAAAATCGCCGTGATTTGAAAATTAACTCGATTTCTTTTTTCTCTCTTCATTATTTATAGAGAAATTTAAAAATATTGTGACTGAAGTCAGAAAAAAAAACTTTTTCCTGATTTGTTACACACGTGAAATTAAATGTTTTGAAAAAAAATCAAATCAAGTATAGAAGAGATAGTCAAACTGCGTATGTACTCACTGTCTTTAACACCCCCTCTCCTCCTTGTACGCATTCGTACGCTTTCGGGAAACCCCTCTCCCCCATACCTGCTTACTTACTTTATGGATGGCCTCTGTAGAAAACACGTGCATCTGTAGTAGTAACTATAGTTGAAAGTAAAAAAAAACTGTAGTTGAAAGCATTAATATTTTTTGGAGTGATTTCATTATTTATTTTTTTACTCTTTATAACAGTGCTGGCACCACATCCAATATCTGCCTTTTTTAATTTTTTTTCTTTTGTAAAATCCAATTTGCAGAGGCTGTTTGCAGTTTTATATAAATAAAATATTAGCTACAATGAACTTTGACAATACGTCTTTTAATAGTCGATAAAGATCGTCATATAAAAATGGCATCTTAGGTTTAGCATATTGATATATGGTTAAAAAGAATTGCATAATATGAGCTATATGAGCAAAGAAATAAAATTTTACTAAAATTAGAGGATCCTTAGTAGCAGATAAAACAATTTGGTAGCTTATGCAGGAAGGCTGTTTACTCTTTGGTAGAGATTGCCAAAACCTACATATTTTACAAATGCTTACTGAAATATTAACAGCTCTTAAAGCCACCTTTTCATCATCAACCCATCGAGTACCACAAAAAAGGAAGAGAAAATTGATTACTTTCAGTCACAACAGTAAAGTTTCCCTGCCTAGCAGGAAAATCACGGAGAAGGTTTTTAAGAGCTTTTAAAATCTTTTTAATACCCCAGTTTGTTTTGTTTTCACCAGTTTTGAATGATAGATGAACCGAATGAAGACCAAAAGATCCAGTTGGAAATAGCTTCGGCACAATAGTTTTGTAACTCAGAGTAAAAAAATTGCATTTGGGCTATCCATAGATACTTTAACAAGTTTGGTTTTATTCAAAGATTTCAAACTTAATAAAAAATTCTGCAAAAGATTTCTATTTCAAATATGTCCAATAAATTTTGACATTGGTAAATGGTATACGTGGCGTTTTTAAGTAAACAGACAAACGTTTACAATGCTTTATTCCTGCTGAATGACTTTTTAGCGCTCTCTGGCCCATATTAGACAGTTCAATTTTTTTACTTGGATGTGGAAAAATTCTACATTTTGGTGAGTTATTCGTATCCCCACACATTAACCAAGCTTTATATTCTGGTATTTGTAACCATTTTTCATTAAAATATGTTGAGTTAATTATTATTTTTTTCTTCTCCAGGTATACCATATAAAATATATATTTATTATCGAGATAAAAAGAAAAAAATATATATAAAATTATTACGTATAGAAGTATAGAAAAAAATAAACATATATATAATAGTTATTATACCAGAATTTATATTAAGTTTGCATCAATACTATATTAATGTATCAAAGTTGTATTAATGTATTTTTTATCAATCTGATAAGATTGATAAAAAATACATTAATACAACTTTGATACATTAATATAGTATTGATGCAAACTTAATATAAATTCTGGTATAATAACTATTATATATATGTTTATTTTTTTCTATACTTTAATACCTAAAAAAAGGAAATCAAAGAAGATTCAGCATTTTTGGGTATAAAACTCCAAAAAAAATCTTTTCGCAGATTCCCTTAATAGCGCCGTTTGGCGTATATCTATGTCTATATAAAAATAGTTAATTAAGTAAAATTAGAAATAATTTTTTATAATTAGCTTTGTAATTACTATTTCTACTGTTATAAACATATATATATATATATATATATATATATATATATATATATATATATATATATATATATATATATATATATATATATATATATATATATATATATATATATATATATATATATATATATATATATATATACATACATACAAATATATATATGCATATACATACATACACACACATTATCTATCCATTGAACAAAAAAGCTGTGACATAATTGAAAATTCAGAACCCCGGGTTTTAGTTTTTTTAATATAATAGTTATGGAAGCTATTTGATCGTAGATTATAACTTTGAGAAAATGATGACGAGAATATGTCTGAAAAAAAATTTGGTAGCATATTATTTTTATATTTGAACATAAAAATAAGAATCTGATATAAATTAAGTTTTTCCAAGTTTAAGACTTTCATATTTGTCATCGGATTGGAAGGATTGTTAATTCTACCTAGATAATGAATTGCTTTACAAGCATGGTTTTGCAAGCCTTGTAGTTTGATTAATTTTGTTTTGTGTGTATTAGCCCACACTATATTAGCATATGTAAGATGACTGTGAATTAGACTAAAGTAAAGTTTTTTTCTTGAACAGAAATCAAGAAACGGGCGACATTTATATAAAATACCTATTGCAGATGATATTTTTGTTTCAATGTGTCCAATATGATTTCTCCATGATAAATTTTCATCAATATGAACACCAAGAAACTTTGCACATTTTTCCCGTTTTATTGTTGTTGTTAATGAGCAATTCTGGAATTTTTAACGGTAGAGACATTGATTGACCTGTTTTATGAAATAAGATGTAGTTGGTTTTTTCACAGTTTAAAGATAGTTTATTTGCTCTAAACCATAAATTAAAGTTTTCCAGTTCAGTATTCATTGTTTCGAACATCGATTTTAAATTACTATGAATATAAAATAAAGTTGTGTCATCAGCATACATTATTGAAGATACTATAGATGATGCTTTATGCATATCATTGATGTAAATTAAAAACAATAACGGTCCTAAGATTGAGCCTTGAGGAACCCCACACTCAATATCAAGAACACTTGAGTCTTTGTTTATTACAAACTGCTTTCTGTTACTCAGATAGCTTTTTATCCATTTATACATTAGTCCTTTGATACCATAATGTTTTAATTTTGATAGTAAGATGTTGTGGTCAACTGTATCAAATGCCTTTGTAAGGTCTATAAATACTCTCGGTACATGATCCCCTTTATCAAAAAATTGCAATATTTATAATACCTAACATTGAACAGTTACTAAAAAAGCTAGCTACTAATCAAGCTCAAAAAAAAAAAATTGTTTTTTTAAAGTTAAACTGTAAGTTAAAAAAAAGAGCTTCTAAAATAAGGTAAGTAATAAAAACCCTGATTTTTGACCTAACTTCCCTGATTTTCCCCTACTTTTTTCAAAGACATCTAAATTCCCTGATTTGACAGAAAACTAGTAATAGAGCGGAATGACAAGTTGCAAACATGTTTTGCTGAATTAGAAGATGGAAAATCAAGTAATCTAACTTGTAAAGCTTTATATAGTAATTTTTTTACTAAAAATAAACTAGGAATAAAAGACCAAGAAACGATTATTCCTATTCTTAACGCTCCGTTGAAACCGCAGATAGAATAAAAAGAGAAAAAAATATATTAGTTTTTGGTGTTGATGAATCAATGTTAAGAAAAAAACAAGACGACGATAAAAAAGCGACTAACAAAATTGTTGATGTACTTAAATTAGATAATAGCAAATTTACGCGTCGTCATCGTTTTAATTCTAAAAATAATTAACCGATACTTAAATTATGGTACTTAATTTTTATCTATATTGGCACTATAATATTGATGCTTGAAGTTTTTTAGTAAATTTTTGTTTACGAGTTAAAATCCAGTCAGTCAATTCAGCGCTTAAGTAGTACTTGGGTACGCAAAAATGTTGGTTAATAACGGACTTTGGATAAGTTTTTATAACTATTAGTGGCTATGTTAAGCCAACAAAATCATTGTATAGAAGAGCATTACATCAGAGTATAGCATGAAATTCAAACATATTAAAATATATTCTTGGACTTTGAGGAAAGTTACATGTTCTTTTTTTTAAATGATATCTCATAAACAAAAATAAAAACCCATTTGACAAGGTTAGGCAGGAACCAGCATTAATAACTTAAGCACTTACGTACTTTCGCACTAATGCTGGTTCAATCTTAAATATTTCGTACACACACCTGTCTGTAGTTAGGTAGCCGCTCCACACTTGGTTTTTGCACGATAACTTTTCTTGTTTTACTATGTTCAGAAAAATGATTTTTGGCAGCCAAAAAAAAGGAGATAAAAATATAATAGTCACGTCTATTTTTCCTGTGGTAAACTTACCGTGAATAATCACCAAAACTTCGGTTAATAATAATACGGATTGCAAGGGAACGCATAATACGGATTACGTAGAACAATTTTAAAACCAAAATTAAAGTGATACAAAAAAAAAACAATTTAATTTATTTTAAAATTTGATATATATAAATTCTAGAGCGCATATATCATTAAAGCGCACAAAATCGTAACGGAGCATTCTGGAGCTGGAGTTGAACTATAATTGGCAAAAAAAAAAAAAAAAAAAAAAAACATGGAAACTTCATATTAATCCACATTTTAACCGACGATATTTTCATCGCCAGTTTTTATGACATCAGTACTTAGCCCATTTACATTAACTAACTCGTTACTTATACGAGCCAATAATTCTATTTTGTTTGACATTTCGTTTATTTTGTTATTAGAAGAATTATGAAGTTTTTGTTTTCCTATCTCTTCATCATTTTCATCGAAAGTAATTACTATAGTTTCAGATTCTATAATAGCATTTTCTAGGTTTTTATCGTATAAATTATCGAGTAGTTCGTTTCTATCGATCTTAGCATCACGCGATACAACCAAAATCCTATTGTTAAATCCATCTTTAAGTTTTATTTCTTTAGTATTTTTAGTTAATTCGATATTGTTTTTAAAAACACTTTTCTGTGATGCTTTGAAACGAACAACGCAATCCTTTACATGTGTTTGCAAACAAATATTCGAGCGAAATTTTTTTAAACATTCACGGCATTGCAACACTTCCTTTTTTCTATCAATTTTTGGTTCATGCGAGCGACAATGTTTGAGAAACAACGTTTTTGATGGGAATACTTGACCACAACATTCGTAAATAGGAATTTCCTTACCTGACTGATGCGATGACTGATTTCCTAACTGATGCTCTTGCAAATGTTTTTCTAGACTACTTACCTTGCGGAACTCGCGTTTATAGCAAACTTTACATCTCAACATTAACAGCTCCTCAGTATTTTCATCAACAACTTTTTCAAATAAATCATAAAACCGCTTTAATGCTTCCTCAGAAAGTTTGTCGACTTTTTTGGTAGAATCCATTTCTTTTGCTATTCGGTCTTCAAGAGTTTCATGATCATGTGTTTTCATATGCTCATCAAGTCGTCCCTATATAAGTAAAACAATTGTTAAACAACAATTTAGCAAATGAGAAAGTATATGTAAACTATCTTACTTTATAAGCAAAATCTTTGTTACAAATAGCACAGATATAATCATATCGATATTCAGAAGCCAGATCAGGATGACTTTGTTCTAAATGTTTTCTCACAGTTTTCCGATCAGGAAATTCTTTCTGACAAGCAGGACATTTTAACCGATCTTTGATTTCTTCATGTACATTAAGATGCGCAATTAGATGCTGTTTTCTTTTAAAAGAAGCCCCACATTTATCGCAAACATGATCGCGAGTTCCGGAATGACGCATACTGTGAATATATACAGAGAATGGTGTGTGAAGGGTTTGTTTACAAACATTACAAGTTGATTGTCCATCTTTGTGATCTTGTAAACAATGGTCTTTTAAATCAGCTTGTACTTTAAAATTTTTGTGGCAAACATCACATCGATAATTCATTTCATTTGTATGTGTAGCCATATGTTTATGTAGATGAGATCTTCTTTTACAAGTTAAATTACATATTGAACAGCTATAGTTTCTATTGTCTGAATGAACAGCCATATGTGCTTTCAAATGACGCCTAAAAATAAACCTTTTTTGACAGATTCCGCAAACATACTCACCTACATTTTTAAAATGCACTCCAAACTGATGCTCGCGCAATTTTTTTCGATTTGCTATAGTTTTGGTACAAAAAAAACAATATTGTGGTAGTTTAGAAGAGCCATTAGGGAATCTAACACGTTTACGCTTAAAAGATGCCAGAGTTTCAAGTGCATAAGTTGCAAGATCCTCGTATGAAGCTTGTTTATTTTCTACATTAACCAGTTCAAAACCGTCCAATTGAATAGAAACTCTATTTCTTCTAATTGTAGGAGAAGTTACAAACTGCATTGTCATTTCATTATCAGTTTCCATCTGTTCCATTTTTATTTGTTCATTATCTCCTAAGGAATTATTTTCTTCAAAAGTTTGCATCTTCGGAGTGCTAGAAAGAGTTAAAGAGTTACACTCGTCATTTTCAACAACTAATGGCGTTGCTTCGTTAATCGTATCATTAGCCAGAAAAGAATTCTTAGAACTTGATTGAGAGTTTAACAATAATAACTTTATAGCTCCGTCAGTAAAAATGTCACTTCCGTTTTGGCCAGATAAAATATTAGAATCATTCTCTATTAATAATCCAATAGGTAGACTGTATTTCTCTTGAGAACTGATGTCAGATTGTAAATGTTTAGAGCTTGCCAAAGACTCCTGTGATAAATTTTTTGCTGGACATAATTCGGAAGACTTTTGCATATTAAAGGACTGATGTGTGGATATTTCTGAATCTAAGTCATAATATTCTAGCGAGCTAAGAAAGCTTTGATTTGTCGACTTTGAAGGATCAGAAGGAAATGTTTTTGGAATGATCTTAGTCATATCAGTCTGATTTTTCCAAAACTCTTCAATGAGAGATTGATACTGAGACAATTGTTGCTCTGGTAACCACAATGAATTCCAGTCCACTCTATAATATCTAGTGCCTTCCTAAAGAATACAACATCAAATTACTTTTAACATAAATAAAATATTTAAACAACAAAAACAAAGAAAACTCAAAGCAAGGCTATTAAAATTGTAAATAAAACTAAAAGGTGTTTGACATTTATCTTTTTGAACTAAGATATTTTAAATTTTTAGGCCTTATTTCCCTACCAACATCTATAAAATACTCTTTATAAGTTACCTCATTTCATTCTTATAGCTTATGTTTTAATGTATGCATGTCCTAAGCAAAATATTGTAAAAAATAATTTTAATTAATTCTGAAAGCTAATAGTTGCCATAATGGGCGGGATTAATATTTTACAGCTGCTGACAGTTACTTGCTACTTGCTTAATGATAGTTACTACAGAGTTAGGGAAAGAGAGTTTTTGGAAACTGCCAGTCTTATTAAACTAAATTTTGAAGCTCTTCTATTTAATATCCATGATAATTAGCTCTTGCTGTTCTACTTGGCTGCATTTTACTCAACAAAATATTTGTTAAAAATGCCACAATTGTATAATACTGGTTTCAGTATGAGATATCCATTTTACTATAATTAAGAATAAAATAAATAATAGTTCCTGTCACTTCAAGAAAACTAAATTTAATTAAAAAATTAGAAAATTTTATTTCAAAAAATCAAAATGCAATAAATGCATTTTACTTTAAAACTCTACCGCTTATTGTCCCTTCACTTTTCTGTTTGTTTTAACTGCTATAACTTTCATTTATCAGTAAATGTATGATTCCAAAAGCAAAATTAGCAAATATACTTTTAATATTAAACTATTTTCAGATTGACAAAAAAAAAATTTTTCTCAACCAGATGTAAAGTGATGCACGATAAGAAAAAAATAGTTTAGGCATTTACATTAAATAAAATAAAAAAATTCTTATACAGAATGAAATAATCTTAAACATTACCTAGCAACTTAAACATTACCTAGCAACTTTTTTTTACAATATTTCATAAATTTTTTATAGAAACAAAAATTTTAAATTCGAGATTTTTTCTATAGCATTGTTATTTAGCATTTTTTAATGTAAACAAAAGACTTTGTTTAAAAGACACAAATTTAATCTGGTGGTAATATATTTGGTATTTAAAGTTTAAGCAGGAGCACATGAAACACAGATGTACAATTTGCAGAATTATATGACATAATTATCCACTTATTCATGCACAAATTCCAATATCATAAACATGATAAAAGTAGAAACTGGTAAAATTTAAAAGTTTATCAGCCATTTAATATAATATCTAAATAAATCTAAATATTCCTGATGGAATTTGCTTCAAACCATTCTATTGTGACACTTAAGTAGAAGTTTTAAATCAATTGTTTAACATGCTAATTTTATAGACTCCAATGATGCTTTTCAAATAATGCTTTTTCAAACACTTAGTAGTCATAGTTCAAAAACATTTTATTCTGGAGTTTCATAGTTGGCAAAAACAAAAATTCCTTATAAAATATTACTCTAGCAAAAAATTTTGTCAAAAAAGTTGTTAAATAATATATATTAAATATATGGCAAGCAGCACTAATTGGCAATTACAATAAGCTATTATAGTATAATAAGCTATATTAACTAAAAATATTACACACACTCCTTTGAATCACATAACTCAATTTTTATACAACACATTTTAGTGTTTCTATTTCTTTTATATATATATATATATATATATATATATATATATATATATATATATATATATATATATATATATATATATATATATATATATATATATATATATATATATATATATATATATATATATATAATATATAAGGGTGTCCCTAAAAGCAACATTTTAAAAAATATGTCACCCCCTCCTTAATGTGTTCTAAATAATTAAAAAAAAAAGAAAAGGATTTAAATATCAAAATTAAATTACCAAAAAAAAATTATTTTAAAGTGCATCATGTTGGGTCTCAAACGTCTCACTTTTTCATTTTGAGTTAATAAACTTCATTTTTATGCTGTTAAATCATATTTATTTTTATATAATGTAATTATCATTTTTGAATTTTTATATATACATTCGCTTTATTTGAGATCCAACGTGATACACTTTCAAAGAACTTTTTTGTTGTTGTTGTTAATATTAGGAACTCTATATATGTTCAGAGGTCTTGAGGGATTCCTAAAAATATTTTTTATTTAAAAATCTTTAAATTCTAGTTTTTTTATCATATAGAACACATTAAGAGGGTGGCAGCATATACTTTTCGGAATGTTGTTTATAGAAGGTGCCCCATTATATATATATATATATATATATATATATATATATATATATATATATATATATATATATATAAATAAACTAGAATATATATATATATATATATATATATATATATATAAATAAACTAGAATATATATATATATATATATATATATATATATATATATATATATATAAATAAACTAGAATATATATATATATATATTATATATATATATATATATATATATATATATATATATATATATATATATAAATAAACTAGAATATATATATATATATATATATATATATATATATATATATATATACATAATTCTGATGAGTCTTTGATGAGCATTTCTGATGAGTCTTTATTGATGAAACACAGTGTAAAATGAAAAAAAATTTTTGTTGAGTGATTTTCTACTGATTTTATATATATATATATATATATATATATATATATATATATATATATATATATATATATATATATATATATATATATATATATATATATATATATATATGCACACACAAACAAACACAAATTTAAACACACATATTGTCTCTTTGTACTTAAAAAGAATATAAAATTAATGATAACCTACTCATTGTATTATGGTAACATTTCATACTTGCAGTAAAATTGACACCTTAACATTCGGACAAGGCTCTAAATTTCCAATGGCAACAATTCCTACAAAAAGAGATGTAAAATATTGCTATTATGTAAATAGAATTGAAGATTTTTAAAGCAAAGTGTCCTGCTCATGAATGTTACTCATGAATGTAGTATATGAAAATATATGAGGTAAATTTAGTTTTAAACATTCAAAACAGTTTGTAGACCATTTGAAAAAGCATCTAATTTGAACTTCAAGATGTAAGAAATGATGTAAGAAACGATGTAAGAAATGATAATAACAACTATAAGGATAATTAAGTTAAAACTCATTCAAGATCAACTCTTGATAATAAAACTCAAATTGATGCGACCGTAGTAAACACCAGCAAATTTGGTGGATCAAATAAATAGAAACAGAAATTGATTGACAAATGCTATAGCTAATTAGTTAAGTATTTTAAATTACTTAAAGGAAAAGTTGATAAAAAAAAATAATAATAACAGAAGACTTAACTAATTTAACGGAAGTTTTATTAAAAAAACAACAACAGAGGATTAATTTCTGATAATATCTTTAGTGAAGCTTTAATCAAAAATACCTTAACAATTTATTCAATCAGGAGAAATTTCAAATATCTAAAAATTCTTTGAGAAACATACAGTGACACAAGAACAAACTGTATTCTTACTTACACATTTCTACAATAAAGCTGATCAAAGAACTTATGGACATTATTATAATATATTTGTAATACTTTTCACCAGACTATTTAAATAAAGATATTTTGAAAGCCAATGACTTTAAGTATATCACAATATCCTTTTTATTATCAGTTTAGTTTAATTAGAAAGCATAATGAAAGTGAGACATTTATACAAAGATTTAAACAAACATAGCAAACATATTGTAATATATTTTTTATATTTTAAATTAAAAATATTCTGTTCAGTGATTACCTGCCTAAAAAGGCTTTTAAAGAGCACTCCCTTTATTTAAAACAGACATAAGCATATATATATATATATATACACACAGTACTTTTAATGAATATATGCACACATTCATTGTCTGGTAGATTAGTACATTTCTTTATACCTTTCTATATAAGGTGAATGTTTAAAAATATCTATCTAGACATCTATGTTAAATAGTGTGTATTTATACACACACAAATACACACACACAGATATATATATATATATATATATATATATATATATATATATATATATATATATATATATATATATATATATATATATATATATATATATATATATATATATATATATATATATATTATTATTATTATTATTATTTAACATAGTTATATGTCAATAATATATAACATATATATAGAATGAATGTCTAGGGTTGCCAGATACCCTCCTTTTGTGTAAAAGAGTATGCTAAACCACCAGATGGTCAATCATACCATAATGAAAACATGATGGAAAACTCAAAATTAGTAAATGTACTTAACAACTGGGAGAAAAAACTTATTTAATCTAGACATTAGCCTGCACTCCTTTGTAAAAGGAGGACACCTTGGGAGCCTAGATATGTCAATTAATATATGCCTAATATAAAAACATCATTTGTTAATATACTTGACTTTATCTTTATAAAAACCTTTTGATTTGGTTCTACTTATTAAGTGCTTTTTACTTTTAAAAAAGTGAAAATTTTTATATATATATATATATATATATATATATATATATATATATATATATATATATATATATATATATATATATATATATATATATATATATATATGTATATTAGGGTGGTATGTTTATATATTAGGGTGGCTATAAAAACAACATTTTTTTAAAATGTCTGCTCTCACCCTCTAAATGTGTTCTATATAATAAAATAATACTAGAATTAGAAAGATTTTGAAAAAAAAAAATTTTTAGGGGTAGGTCAAGACCTATAATTATCAAAACAAAAGGTCCCTATAATTATCAAAACAAAAGTTCTTCAAAAGTATATCATATTGGGTCTCAAAAGAAGCGAAATTATTTAAAATTTTAAAAATAATTATCATTTGATAAAAAAAAGATTGAGAAATTTATAAAAAATTTAATGTAAAAAAAATTTATAATAAAAAGTTAATGCAAAAATGCATATTTTTAATTTTTAGTTTTAAAATGTCATTTTCTAGACAGTGAAAGCTAAATTTTTCAATTCTAGTAGTGTATACATATATATATATATATATATATATATATATATATATATATATATATATATATATATATATATATATATATATATATATATATATATATATATATATATATATATATATATATATAAATAACAAAACAAAAGGTGCCTTTTCATTTTTCTTGTGTGCATTTAATAAATACACACTATTTTTTTTTTTTCCTATAAAGGTAATACCAATAAAGGTGTATAAAAAAAGGCAATACAAAAACTAATATAAAAATATTAGTGTATAAAAAAAGGCAATACAAAAACTAATAATATAATTATAAAAATACAATAAAATAAATTAAAAATATTATCATGAACTAAAAAAATAGAAAATAACAAAAGAATAGATTAAAAAGATACACAACGTGTATAGAAAGTAGTAGCTAAACAAAAAGTGTCATTTAGACATGGTTGATGCATAAAAATAAATTCTTGCAAAAATGCATAACTAATCATAAACTTTAGACCAACTAGACAAATCTCTTAGAGATTTATTATCTTCATTAATAAACATTGAATTTTGTACAAAAGATTTATTTTCCTTCATTAAAGAAATAAGTAAATTCAATCTCCACGAATATTTTTTAGTATCATACGATGCAACCAGCTTTTATACTTCAAAAAATCATTGAAATTCCAGTTAATTTAATTTTGCTCCATAATAATAATAAATTTACTAAAAATGATTTTAAAAAACTATTCCGATTTGCCATTTCGCTAACACATTTTCTTTTTAAAGGAAAAAATAACAATGAATCGATGGTGTAGCAATGGGTTCTCCACTGGCACCTGTTCTTGCCAATTTGTTCATGGGTCATTTTAAAAATAATAGGATTAAAAACATCAATGTAAAACGAGTTTTCTACAAGATACGTTGATAACAATTATGCTGCTTTCCAGTCAGATAATGAGGCACATACTTTTCTTAGATATATAAATAGTAGCGTAATTTTATTTCTTTTAATATGGAACAAGAAGTAAAGTCAAAAATATATTTTTTAGACATAACTCTACACAAAATTAATTCTCCAGTTACCACTAACGCTTTTTGTAAAAAAAAAACAACCTATTCTGGTCCTCCCACTAACTTTTGTAGTTTCACTCCATTTTTGTACAGAATTAGTCTAATCAAATGCTTAATCGATAGAACGTTTGAAATTTTTAGTACTAAACTTGGATTTCAGTCTGAAATAAACGACCTCTTAAAAGTATTTTAATTAAACATGTACCGATGTTGGCTAGTTTTAAAAATATATAATTCCTATTTAAACAAGATTAACTCAAATACTTTACCACAACCAAAAATTAGAGAATCTTTGCCTTAAAAACTGCCGTTTTTAAGAAAAATATCTGATTTAACTAAAAAAAACTGATTGCAATTGCTAAAAGATATTGCTGTTAAGTAAATATTAAAAAATCACCTCGCTGAAAACTTCCAAATTCTTTTTTTCTAAATATCTTATTCCTTTAGAGTTCAAATGGTTTGTGGTATATAAATTTGTATGTGCAGGATGTAACTCCTGTTATAAAGATGAATCTACTAACCATCTCAAGACACGGATATCTGAGCATTACAAGAGAGGTATAAAGTCTCATATCTATAAACATCTTCACACTAATGAAAATTGTTTCATGCAAATAAGCGATAAGTTTTTTTCTGCTTTAGATTTGACATCTAACAAATTCGAGTTAAAACATAAAGAAAGCATGTTCATAGAATGGTTAAAACCTGGTATGAATAAACAGGTTAACCATGTCCAAATGACACTTTTTGCTTAGCTACTTTTTTCTAAACATGCTGCATATATTTTTAGTCTATTCTTTTGTTATTTCCTATTTCTTTAGTATGAAACTTTTTAATTGATATCATTGTATTTTTGTAATTATATTATTATTAGTATGTACAACATTAATTATATTTTGAATTGTTTTTTTATACACCTTTGTAGGTATTTAAACATGTTTTAAATATTTAATTTTATTTGAAGATGACTAGTGTTAGTCGAAGCATGTAGGGGAGAGTGGTGTACCTCGTAGGTATTTTCAAACTTACAAATATTTAAAAAAATACTTAAAATATGCTTTGTAATAATACATTTTTTTTAACTTAATGATATTAGTTACTCTAGGATTTCTTAAACTTTTAGACATATTTTTTCATCCCTATTTTTATTTTGAAAAATAGCTTACAGTACAGCCAGAGTACACCACTGGTGGTGTACCTTGGAGGTATGTATGTTGTACCTTGGAGGTTTAATGTTTTAACAGATTTAGTACTCAACATGGTAAAATTTGATATGTTTATTTATAGGATAATTAGACTTCACATCAGAGATAATAAAATCTAACTGGTTAGATTTATATAAATTATATATTAATTTATACTTGTGTTGAAATTATATATGATTATAAATTTAAACTAATTTATACTTAGAAGTATTAAAAACTTACAAAAGAAATATAATTGATTAAGAAAAGAGTAATAACAAATATCTACATTAAAGTTTAATAATAATAAGTATTTCACTTTGATTTAGCTTTTTTTTACTTTATAATCAGGTAATCAAAGTTAATGCCAAATGAGTTTTTTTCCAGCTGTTGTGCTAAACCTCCTGTAATAGAGGGGTGTGGCAACTGAAAGACCATGTCTGATTTGTCCAACTCATACACAGTTTTATTATCTCTTTGATAATTCGAGAAAATTATCAAAGAGAAAAACAAATAAAAAAAATCATTACAATTTAATAAAGAAATACACACATAATATACTAAAGAAATTCTAAATGTATAAAAAAAAATCATTACAAACTATAACAACATATAACAACATTAAAAAATCCTT